TCCAGGATAAGATTGCATTATATTAGGATTTAAGTTGATTTAAGCATAACATATCATAATGTAATATAATAATAACATAATATTAAGGACATCCACTGAAGATGTCAAGAAACCATAAAACGACAGACAGACCACAAACAGAGAAGATTCGCAGGACAATGTGACTGGAAACGACCAAACTACATTCCTTATTTCGCAGATCTCAACAGGAATTCTCACAATATTAAAAGCGGTATTACCCAAGGCGTTACATGAATGCGTGATAAGCAGTTTAATATCTGCTGAATTAAGATGGTTGTTGAATCATTTAATTGACCTTCAGTTTGACCTAGTACAAAACTTAGCGAGAATGAGCGTATCCAGAGACCGCACGGTACAAACGATAGTGACCTCACGTCGACCGACCGTTACCCGCACAAAAAGCCCGACCGTTTAAACGGGTTAAATTTAATGCCGGGAATATCTCACCTGTGCTCATTCAGGCGGCCTTTGAACGGACAATCCGCGAGGTATAATTACGCCAGGGCCTAATTTCCTGCCGTGCCCATGCAAATTGACCGACGGATTTGATAATTGCTCTTGATAAGGAATGCACGTGTGTCCACGTGGTGGCCGCGCCCAGCACCACATGGATCCGTTTCTTATATGACAGATTCCGGCGGATGCTCCTGTCTGGAAAAATTACCGACGGGTTTCCAGCCGGGCTGAAATCCTCATTGTTTACAACGGAGATTGGCGGGATCGGGAGGAAGAAATTTTGTCCCGATCTAATATCGGCACCAACAGGAATCAACAAAGTAAAAGCACTGTAAATCTTATGCGATTGTAAAATATCAGCGGATCAAAGGCGGAACGTTTCATTGATACGAAAATACGCTTTATGAGTTATGCCGAGGAATGGAAGAAGAGGAGAGCGGTTTCTATTTTCAGCAAGCCATAATTCCCAGGTCGGCGCTCAGCTCTTCAAAACCTACAACGGTCTCCTATAATCTTCAAGTTTCAACGTGAACCATTGTAATATTTAAAAATGGTAACGACTTTGAACTTTGGAATGCGTAGCATCCTCCTTATTATCGAATGGTTTACGTTTATATTAGTTCGAAACTGTATTTTAATTGGTTTCTGCATACTTGCTTGCCATAAAAAACCCTAGCATTCTTTTTGAATTGTTATGATTTAGAATAAACATAAATAACTCAAGTTTGTTATTCTTAAAAACCCAAATTTGACCAAAAAAATGTCTGAATTATTTTGAAACAATTCATCGTCAGTACAAAGTATTTACCCATCAGTAAAATAATCCAACGTTCACATTAAAAATTCGACTAAAATCTTTTAAATACATACATAACAAATAGTAATAAAGATTTTCATTAATTTAATGGTCCGATGATAAACACAATATGCCATAAAGTATTTAGTAGGGGGTGCGATATAAGGGACCGATAGGCGAAGAAGACGAAAGCCGAAAAGCTCAACTCACATTTCCAACCGCGGACGAAGAGGCCGACTCAACAAAGGAGGCTGAGGATTACACAAGCCCGCTCAAAACAAGGCCAATAGCAGGTAGAACGAATGGAGGAAAATATCCCGCACGGGATACTCCATCCAATTCGGCCCACTGTCAGATTGAAAGGGAGGAATCAGGGTATTCCTCGATTCAGGTCGAGGTGCAGCAGGCCTTGTGGCTGCCTCTTTTATCCCTATCCTATCCCTAAGTATTTAAATTTTCACCTTGTTTATCTGCATTTTTTGCAGCTCTTTTGGCTGTTGGTTGTAGTTTTTTTTTAAATCCTGTCCATAGTAACCCTATGGACAGAGATTTTATTTTCAACCTGCTCCCATGCTGATTAGAGCTTATTTAACATTTACATTGTATTATGTTATTACGTTCACAGTCTTAAATATGTTTATATATTAACAGTTAAAATGTTCAAGATAATTATTACTTATTTATTTCGTTATGATTTAGTTATTGAATTTATCAAGTCCAGAAATTCTTTTTTATATTCAGAGATAAAACTTCTCTCACACTGAGGCCATGGTTCCACTTCATTAAAATTTTGTAGATTAATGTGGCTCTTTCTCTATCAAATAAGATGCAGATGTATATAATGTGCGGCGTCCAGGTCTGTGGTCCCAAACCACATGGACACCTCGGATCGCACACGATGTTGAAGCGCGCTAGATAGGATCTGTTTTGCCATGGTTTGGAAGAGCCATTGTAGTCTTATGGGGTGGTCAATGATAATATCAATTCAGGATTCGACTGTCGGCAAGTAGCTGCTGGTATATGCTGCATTTTCCCAGATCATCCTGCTCTGAATCTTAGTACTTCTAATGACATGGCTTTTTGGTACTTTTATGTGTCTCCGAGGTCCTCATCAAGGGCTGCTTTTCTTGTCAGGATGTCTGCCCTTTCATTCTCCCAGATCCCGGCATGAGCTTTAATCCACTGGAGGCTAATTTTCCATTGAAGGTCGTATCGCATTTCTCTAAGCGTACTTCTTATTTTTTCCTTAGTTGAGCATGGTTTCTATGATCTTGGATTTTTGATAATGCAACCGCACTGTCAGTTATTATATACAGTTAGTTATTATAATAGTTATTATAATACAGCTGTTATTTCTTTTATTTCATAAATATTTTCTTTAAACCAATAGCTTAGAAAATTTCTGGTAATTCAACCTGGTTATTCGAGCAGCAATCCGCTAATTTAAGTTTCTTCTCTAATTAAATGTTACCTCCTGTTAAACCTACAAGCACAGCCAACTGCATTACCTATTTTACTACTATCCGTGAAAATTTCATGGTGAGCATTTTCTATGTTGGCAGTGTCCGATAAAATGTTCTCTACTTGACGAGGGTGAGACCATTCAACAAATTTTGTAGGCATTTCTAATTCGTATTTTGGTAATTTGGGATTTTGTTCTCCTTCATATGCTGAATGGATCTGTACGATTTCCCGCAATTTGATGTCAATTGGTAGAAATCCTGCCAAGACGACGGCGGCATTGAAAGAGATTGTTTTGAATCCTCTTATTGTTCTCAATGCTATCCTACGTTGTACACTCCTAAGTTTGTGTATATTCTGTTTAATATCCAATCCAGAAATCCATACTGGTACAGCATAAGACAATATAGTTGTTGGTTGTAGTGGTTCTGGTTGTACAAGGCATGCCTTAATATAATTTCTTTATCTGTGATAAATTTTTTTTAAATTTTTTAGTATATATTAATATATTAATTATTATACTATATTATTAATTACTACACTATATTAATTTGACCGTGTTGGTATTTTTAACCCATAGTTCTCTCTTTTGACTTATGTTACAATAGTGGCTACAGTGGTATTTTGAGATATTACGATAAATTGAGTTAAGTGGAGGGGAATGAATATGGTTTGAGAAGAATAGAGTTCAGTTGAATCAAATAGAAATGTGACCAGCAAGTTGTGAAAGGTTGAGCTATGTAGTAAGCAAAGAGTCGAGTTGAGTTGATGATATTTGAGTATAAGAAGCTTCAGTCGACTTCAGGTGAATTAAGTAGAAACGAGAAGTAAAACGTTGAGTAGAATTAAGTTAAGAGAAGTTAAGTGAGAGGCAACCGTTTGATGAAATCTTGAAACCTATTTAATGAAGTCAGAAATAAAAGATTGGTTTGGATTAAAAAACGACAAGTTCGATCTAATTAAACCTGTGAGACAGTGGACAAAAAGGGCGCCTCGGTGTCATTCAGAGAATGCCTTACGCTTCTATTGTCAGCCAACAATTGTTCTCACCTATTTATTTTTGAAAGGTTTGTATTACGAATTAACTGCGGGAGGTAGTTTTAATACGGACTGCGACGATAGGGGAGGCATCGTATTGATAACATTTGCCCTATCAATTTATACGATAAGACTGTGAGTTGTAAATAAAAAGAAAATATTGTATTGATTAGAGTATTAAATTTATATGAATTGGTCGGAGAAAAACCTTTTTTCTCCAAATATTTTATCGACATTTAGAACATGCTTCACGATCATTTATACGCTGTAGACAAATTTGATTGCTATTTTAATAGGCATTTTCATTGTGCCATTAACCAAAAGTTTTAAGACATTTTATCTAAAAAGTATTTTATTGATACATTAACGTCTTTTATTTAGGTAGGTTTTACAATAAAAAGAACATATCAGGGAAATATGGTAGGTGAAGTCTTGTGAAGTGGCCAATACGAACCATGAACCTTTTTGCATTTTCTTTAAAAAAGTAAATCCATTTATAAAACAAATGAAGGCTGGTAAATCTATGGCGGAATAGAAAAACTATTATACCTACCTGCATTGAAAGGATAGACAGGGTATCTCTATTTCAAGGAAGGCTCTGGTGGTTAATAAAAATTTTCAATTAATTATTCTTTAATTAAGGTTTTGGTTGAGATAAACAATCAGTGTCACGAGCGGGATTCGAACCCACGATCTTCGCCTAAATACGCCGCTGCTCTACCGCTTGAGCTGTCGTGACTTCGATCCACTCGGACACTAACTTCCCATCTCAACTCCACCTTTTGAATTTTCCCTCCTTTTTGCCATTTTTTTAGGGTCCGAGTGGATCGAAGTCACGATAGCTCAAGTGGTAGAGCAGCGGCGTATTTAGGCGAAGATCGTGGGTTCGAATCCCGCTCGTGGCACTGACTTTTTTATCTCAACCAAAACCTTAATTAAAGATTAATTAATTGAAAAGAATTTATTTGGTCAAGCTAATAAAAGTCAATAATAATAATGATTATTCGGAGATGGTGAGATGCGGTCTGGTGTGACGTAGGTTTTAGAAAAACATTTTCTTTATCGCGCCAACCTTTCGATCTTTATTGAGATCATCTTCAGGGCCTGGGATTTATAAACATTGTTTAAATTTAACAAATACATGTAGGATGTGGAAAAAAAGTGAATTTATACAATGCAAAAAAATATTTTTATATTCAAAGTATTTCTACTCACTCAAAGAGTTTAATATCAACAATAATAATAGTTAGATAATAATGAACAATATCAGTCGGATTGTCTTTTGGTTGTTAATTTTCCTCCTATCATAAGCTATAAACTTCCAAAATATTTATTTCTGTTTGAAAAACATTGCAGTATGAAATAGTCTCCAGCTTTTGAATCCAATTATCCGGTAGTACGCAATCAATATAATTGTTGTTTGTGTCATTTTTATATTAAAACATCAGGTTTTTGAACGTCTATTCAAACTTGGTAGATCTCACTTGAAAAAATAAAACACTCATTAATTAATCACATTACCCATTAGCAATACCAAATGAAACCATTCCAGAAAATGGGGACTGATTATATAATCCTGGAAAAAAAATTTACATACCTTATAACGTTTTAACCTACGATGGGAAAGAAAAAAATATATAAATACCATAAAATTTTATTTTATTCTGCAGTTTATATATATAAAACTAGAAATAAAGAACCCCCTTCAATGTTATGTACTGTACTTTGAATATTATTATTTGTTTGCGACTCTTACCTTTTAGTACGTTCTGTTTATGTAATGTTGAAATAGGCGATTTTCTAAGGTAAATTAAATGTAAAATGATTATTCCTCAGAAGTGAATTGTACGTTAAAACGCCTCGGTCGCCCCACTATATAATATGATAAACATGAAAAGTTATGGAAAGATTAATTTTTTAAAGTAATTTTATAAAGGTTGAGATTAAAGGGTATTAGAGTTTAGAGATAACGGATAAGGATATAAATAACTTGTTGCTTTCAACAAATTAAATTGATTAATTGCTTCGGGATCAGGGAGAGAAGGATAGTCAATTTATTGACCATAATTCACCGTTGTAGAACAACATAATGCACAATTTCGGATGCAACTTTATAGTTTTCGTATATTCAAACGGTGGCCAACTTTTATTTTAAAACCGTGTAATTTCTGCCGTGGAAGAAACGATTTTCGGTTTCGGGGTCGGCGATTTTCTCGGGCTTACACCCTCGTGGCTGGGAGGGTTTTTAGATAGCTAGGCTCTCAGCCGATAAGGTTAGCTCCAGGAAATAAATTTACGATACCATATCACGATAAAATATTTATTTATTCCTTCACTCCGATATTGGTTAAGTTATTGCTCTCTATGTTCAGAACCCTTTAGAATAAAAAAAACTATTTACTCATTTGTTTTATTCACAAAAATAAGCTTTATAACACAGTTGCTTGTAAAAAATATAAGTTATACAATTAAAAAATACAAATGAAGATTTCGTTTTATTAAGAATCATTTTATTATTCAGAAATCGTGAGATGCGGTCTGGTGTGATGTAGGTTTCAGAAAAACATTTTCTTTATCGTACCAACGTTTCGATCTTTATTGAGATCATCTTCACGGCCTGGGATTTACAAACATTGTTTACATTTAACAAATACATTTAGGATGTGGAAAAGTGAATTTATACAATGCAAAATATATATTTTTTTTTATATCCAATCAAATTATTTCTACTCAATCAAAGTGTTTGTCTTCTGTGTAATTGTGCCATTCTTGCGTGTCGTGTTGACAGTGCCAGTGAGATTTTGCTGTTTTATGTGTACATACGTTGGATTTTGGAGGGATGGGGAAGGATGTCGGTATAGAAAGACATTTTTGTATAAGGAGTCGGCTTGTTTGAGGTAAAAGGAGCCGACGAAGAGAAAAAACGTTGGTATTGGTTCAGCCAGATTATCCTTTCAGGAAATGCGTTTAATGTAAATCCCAGGCCCTGAAGATGATCTCAATAAAGATCGAAACGTTGGCACGATAAAGAAAATGTTTTTCTGAAACCTACATCACACCAGACCGCATCTCACGATTTTTAAATAAATATCGATTAACGGTCACTAATCACCACACAAATCATTTTATTCTCGTATGTCCGTAAGATATATACTAAATCTTAAATTTGACGATCGTATATATGATTTTTAAATTTTTCAAAATTACTTAAAGATGAAAGATGTTAATAGATTATAAGTTGGCATGTATGATTTTCAAATTTAAAAAATTGACAAACATAAGTACCTAAAACGAAAAATTAAAATGACCATCCATTGTACCCTCTATTAATACTAGATATAAGAGTCAATACTTACAATTTATAAAACATAAAACTATAATTTTTAATTACTTTTTTCTGTAAAAAGTGCTGGAGATCCCCAAAGAAATAAAAACGTTACAATTTCTTAAAATTTAGATGTAAAATTAAGGGAAAATTTAGTAAAGAAGTACGTTTACATGGTTAAACGTACAATTGTTATACTAAAATAGATGATAAAACCCACGTGTCAAATGTTTCTTGTTCTAATCTCTTATATCGATTGTAAACATATTACTTTGTTTAATTGTTTAATTTTTGTTTTGTTAAGTTCAAGTTGTATGTTAAGAGATATTTATTTTATTGTAAATATGTAATTCACTTTAGAAGTAAGAGTAGTTCTCTCTCTCTCTTTCTCTCTCTCTCTCTCTCTCTCTCTCTCTCTCTCTCTCTCTCTCTCTCTCTCTCTCTCCTCTCATTCTCACTCATAAACACACAATGAGTTCCTGTTTTATCGATTTGTAATTGTTGTGTTTGTAGTATAAGAGGAGACATTAAATATGTACAATTTTTAAATAAGAAAACGATTCTCATTTAACTAGTCGTTGAAATACATTGTACACCTTTGTAAAAGTCAAATTATTTGGCAATTTTTTTTTAATTAAACAAAAATAATGATAGTAATAATTGTTCTCATTCCATTTTCATTTTCAATACTAGGTTGGAAGATTTGATTATGTTTATCGACATAACCACACTTATTTTAAAAAAAGAAAAAGTATATATAGTATCTTCTCTACAGAATTGATTACTGTCAAATTATATTTCCTACTCCTTAAATCTTTGGTTAATCGTGCGTAAAGTTGGGTATTATTAGGTTGGCAATATTGATAATGATAGTGTTGATTCGTATGTTTTATACAATCCTTAATTATCAACATTTAGTATGTGGTATGGTGGCTGATTACCGTGGGCCCCTTGCAAAATTGAAATTTCAACAAAAGTCAAAAGCAAAAATTGAGTTATAATCGAATTCCGAAACGCTAATGGCAGGTAGTTTGTATTTTTAATACTTATAAATTGTACGTGATGGATAAAGTAAAAGATAACCTTATAGGTCTAAACTTGGGGAAAAAAACGGTGTAGTCATCCATCACTCTGAGATAGTAATGTTCTAACTCATTGATTGTTCGCCCACGCGAACAAAATCCATTCATCCCTAAACTCAACGGTACTTTATCATAATTTAACGAAATGTTATTCTAAACGGAAAACGGCTTAAAAACCCTATTATTTGAGTCGGTTAATAAGTTCATAACAAACAATATTTGATTGTGACATTCAAAGGGAGAAAGTACGTGAATCACCCGATGAATCATACAGGCGAAATTTTGTCGTTGAAGCGTAAGTCACGCTGCAAGAATACCTGCAATGTTCAGTGTGTAAATTATAATTCACCGTGCAGTTGAATTTTGCTATATTTCAAAGTAGGGAAAAGACACGTTGCTTCGTGCGGGGTCGGCATCGGCAAAAGGCGATCATCGTTTTCACCACCAAGTCGGCAATTGTGCATATAACCGGCATTTGTCACGCCCAGCCAGGCGATGGAAGGTGATGATGATTCATCACACCCGTGAACCCTAGACTCGAACTTCAGAGAGATTCCAGTCTCGCCTTGCGTCGACTTCCGTGTTCTAAAATTGAACATGTTTCAAACCGGAGGCTTGTAAGCCGAGAGGTGATCTCACATTGGAAAAGAGTGACGTATCGCTTAAATCCGTCCAACATATCTACCATGAAATTTCATAAACAAAAAACGAATTGCCAGATCAGACGATTTCTTTTGTCCGATTCTTCTATAACGAATTATTCTTTCAACATGAAACCTAGGAGGACATGGTTTAAAAAAAATATTTTTGTGGAGTAGGCCGGAAACAGGAAGAGTCTGATGGACCCTTGTCATCGCTGCTTTGATTGAGATGCAACTGCCTTCAATTATGTCAATCTCACTGGCCATTACATGTTTTCATTTAACGCTCGGCAGCGTCCAACCCCTCGCTGTGGCAAACAAGCACTAACCAGCCTCACTGTTATTCAATTTTCGTTGCGCTTTGTGCCTATGATTAAAAAAACATGATGTCTATCGTAGGAAAACAGTAGCGTAACCACTTCTGTCACCATGAGTGAAATAGAAAGACTTTCGGGTAGACACAATTGTACAATCAAATCCTCATTTACATAAAATATCGGGTGTTAAGCGGTAAAACAGAGAATAAAGCATAACACTAAATTTAACAAAACCACATAAAAGGTTATTTAATCATAAACATTAAGTTATATTTTCGTTTGTAATCACTTAACTATCCATTGACAGATGATAAATGAGAGAACTAAGGTCATAAGCATAGTGCACAAAAAAACGAATGAAAAATTATCCACACTCACTTAAGGTTTTCGTTAATCGCGCGCCCTATAGTACTAATATGAAACAATTATATTCGACAATTTTTAAAATTCTTTTGCTTCCATATATATACAAGAGATTAAGAAGTTATAATTTACTTTAAATTGTGCAGCTTCCACTGTTCACTTGAAGAATTCAAGTTTGGAATTTAGAGTTTATCTTTAACTATTCATTTCATAAAAACTGTTAAATACCATAAATTTTGAATGTTGAAGGAATGAAAGTTGATGGATATGTAGAGAATTGAGCTTATGACTTATCACACCACCGAAGTTGGCTCCAGGTGTTGTCAAAAGTTAGGTCATTTTAGACCCCAAAACATGTAGCTTTTAAATTTAACACACCCACACTCTCACTAATTCTTAATTACATAATTTTCTATTTATATATCATTTACTCATTAGTAGTACTCGATATTTTTTCTCCAACATACTTCACATGTGCTGTATAACTAATCTAATGGGAACTCAATATTCCTTTTCACTGTACACATTCACGCTACTAACTACATTCACTTAATATACACAAAAGGAAACAACAATATCTTTCAGTTCTACATTTTGGAAATGTTTTATTAATTCGTGTAAGTTCTATTAAATCTAGCCTATTCTCGATAAAGAACAACTGCGTTATTAAGATACCATAGTAATTACTATCGTAACGATATTTGGCGGATCCTTAAAATAAAAATATTATTATCGGAATTTGAACTACTACCATTTATCATAGCCCTGTCAACCTGGTAATATTCTCTTGTTATTTATCTTTTAATTCAACTATAATTAAAATGTTCTGTTTATCATCTGAAAAGGTGTGTTTACCTAAACCATCAATTTTCACCAATCCCTGCTATTCTTATTATCAGGAGGCGTTTGGAAAAAAATTGCCCACCTCCCCGCTATAAATAATTACAGCTATTTCGAAAGTGGCCATAGTGAAGCGTTGATCGCACGTTAGATTATGTACGTGAACATACCTTATACAATTTGTTTATTTATCTCCAGTCTCAGGTTGAAGCAACTTGTTATTTGCAGTGGTCGTTGACGGAAAACCATAAATTTCCGTTATCTCCTTCTGAAGGAAACAGGTGGCTTAATTGTGTTTTCAATTAAACCACGGCTTTCGAATTAAGTTGGTACTAGCCTCTGATTAAGCGCATTTATCAGCAGCAAAGGGTATCTCAGTTCCGTTCGAGAAATGTGTGTTCCACGGCGCCAAAGAAAGTCCCGAGTCAGCTTTTCTGGACCGTAAAAACTTCCTAGGTTCCCCTCGGTTTACCGTGTCCATTTTTTTATTTAGTGTAGCACAAGCTGGTCGTCGCGCTACGAATCTTTTATTTTCAAGTAATTATATGACGGTTTTTGAATCGGTCCTTGTGGCTCTTGCTTCGTGCATTGCCCTGTTTCCGATTTTCCACCGCAAAATGCTGAATCATGACAAATGGAAAAGACGCTACGACAGATTCTTGACTCTGTTCCTTGAAAGATCGGCTTTTCTGAACTAACACCACAAGATTAATTCGGCATAACCAGCTATTAAAAATAGCCGTTTATCTCTTCAGACGTCAGTAGACGTCCAACACGCTCATTCAACTTTAAAATTAA